AACCAAAATCAGGCAAAGCAGGCAGGCAGATTGAGTTGCTCACAGAATCACCAATTCATTCAGAGATCTATCTTTCTGCAATCTGCTACCTGAGTCTGCACTGAAAAATAGAAGCTTCAGTCCTAAGGTAGGTTCAACTCTGCTTTTAGATTAGCTACAAAGCAAGAAATCCAACAATTTCCTGCTAATCTAAATCTCCCAGCCCTGCAGAACAGCTGATGGTGGGGGGGGGGGGGGAAAAATAGCAATTTACCAAACACAGGAAAATTGGAAGGCGCCCATGCCAGGGAAGGGGGGGGGGGGGGGGGAGGGGGCGGGGCCAGCCAGTGGCGCGATTTGCCGGTTCTCTAAACTGCGCAGAATCGTAACAACTAGTTCTATAGAACCGGTCTGACCAGGTAGAATCCCACCCCTACATGGATTGTTTTGCTAACATAGTCAAGAAGAGAGTTAAAGTCAAATCTTACTTTTTCAATGAAAGTGAGCAAAGATTCTCGGTTATTCAGCCATTCTTGCTCAAGTTGAGAAGCTGGTGGGTATTTGCAACAGGAAAGTTCAAATGTGACTTCAAAGCAGTTAGCCCAAAGATAGTTATAATCTTGCATTCCACCTAAGGCATGTACAGAAAGAATCGTGAAATAATTAAGCAAAGAATAATCTTTTGCACCAACAAGACTTCTCTTCACATAATTTCAAATTAGCATTAGCATCAGTAGGCAGGAAAACCCATTTGTGCAAACGAAGAAAAAAAAGGTTTCAACTTTCAAAGAAACAAAGGACCATTTAGGAGGGGGGAAATCTGTGTCTGCTACTTTAAAAATAACAATTGAAATTCTGAGATCATGCAACTTCCCTATTTGTCATAGGTGATCTTGTTTACAAAAAAAACGTAACAGGTTAATATGCAGGAGTCCTGATTTTTCATTATGTCTGAGGCATTTTATACTCATCTTCTCTTTTTATTCTTCAGTAGGTCAATACTTGATGCTTAGAATTGGACTAACCTTTCAAGTATACCATATTATTGAAATACTTATGTTAATTTAATTGTATTTAAGTACCACATTGATATAATTTTCATTTTTCACTCAATCTAAAGGATTGTACATTCTCATATATACCGTATATGTAAACTCTTCTTTTGAAAAACTAACAGTAAAGTGCATGTCTCTCCTCATTTTTATCATTACTGTACTCTTAACTGTACTGTAAGTTAAGCTTATCTATCCAAAGAATGTACCTATCCAAAGTCCCAAAGAAAGTTAATCACAACTTCCAAACAAGGTGCCCCTGTTCCAATGCTGATTTAACAGTATTCTTAAGGTTAACAAAATAACCTTTTCAGATTTCAAAGCAGGAGTGCCAAATTCAGCAGCAAAACGATAAGCAGATGAAAGTGCACCCTGGACAAATATGAAATTTGTTCTTGCCATGCAAAGTCATATAGCAAATCCTTGTTCTTGGCACATTTAAAATATAATGTGAAAAACACACACACAGGTAGTGCTCATTTAGAGACTGCCTCGTTTAGCAACCATTTGCAGTCACAACGCTGTAACTTTTAATGGACAAATAAGCTAGAAAACAGTCACAGAACTCTTTTTACAAAGGACGACTGCGGTGGGATGACTATATGCTCAAAAGTGGAAAAGTTCAGAATTACCCACAATACAGGAATAGTCGGTGAAAATGTTGGAATTTGCACGGATGGCTAAATTGACTTCTTTGATCAGAGAAAAGACAATATATTTGTGACTGGAAAACTTGTGTATATTTTTTGCATGAAACAAAAAAAAAGGCACTTTTTGGCTTTGATGATTAGGAAAAAATCTAGATAATGGAAATAGTATGTTTTGTAATCGTAACAGTAAGAGATAACTTTATAGTTACAGAATACTTATATTTGCTGCAAAGGAAATTTGCAGCATCCCACAGTCATGTGACTGCAATTTACAATTGCAATTTTTGAGGAAGCAGCAGATTATCTGGACGCTTCTTGGTTGGGGCTCCTGTCAGGTATAGCGCTGATTCATTTGTAGAGGGCCTTTGGAAAACAAGAATGGGGGTGGGGGAGTGTGTGCAACCATTCTTCCCCTCCTGGATCTCTCAGGGGCCTTTGATAACACTGATTTTATTTATCAAATTTGTATGCTTGCCGTACTCCCAAACAGTTTGGGAGGCTCACAATACTAAAAAAACCAAGAGACATACATTAACAGCCAGTAAAAAAAAATGGCAAGGATAACAAAATGGGGAGGAAGGAAGCAGTGTCTTTGCGCTCTCTCTCACTAAAAAGCTCAGGTGAAAACCCAGGGTGGGGGCCACCTGGGCCTTTCCGAGAAACCTCATTCAAGAGGTCACGGTATTAGGAGTGGATGCGTGTGCACTATGTTGTGGTGATTCTTCTCCTTTATTTGGCATCCGTTTCTCTCCACTTCTATTTAGCATTGACATGAAACCAAGGTCAGTGAATGGCAGAGTGTGAAAGATCATCAGCTGATGATACTCAGTTCCACCTCTGGCCAGGTAAATGAGGACACTGAGGTGCTTATTGAGTGCCTGGAGGCTATGAGAGTCTAGATGTGCAGGAACAGACTGTGACTCAAGATGAAGAGGCTTTGGCATTTCAGGTCTCCTGAATCCAGCTATTTTTCACCTCTAATTGGCAATGGACTAGCAGTTCCCCCAGAGTTTGGTAGACTCATGGCTCATGTTTGAACAGCAGGTGCCAGCTTGGCTAGGTCACTTTTGTCCATATTTGTGTGCCAACTGCATGTCTTCCTATAGCGGGAGGCCCTACTGGCAATTCACCACGCCCTAGTCACTTCCCAGTTGGATTACTGCAATGTGCTCAACATACAACTGTTCTTGAAAAGTAATGAAAGTTCTGAATAGAACAGAATAAATAAAATGGAGAATAAATTAGATAATAGAATAGAAAACAGTACTAGGATAGAGATAGGAATAGGGTAGGATATGACAGAAGAGAGAATAGAATAGAATAGAATAGAATAGAATAGAATAGAATAGAATAG